CTCAACCCCCCCGCCTCTCTTGGCTTTCAATGAATGTTTGCCATCTGTCTACAGCAACTAAACTTATAATTTCTTTTTTTCCCCCTCTCTGCTTTCAGATTAACCTGCGACTGATCCTCGTGAGCGGCAAGACACACGAGTTCCTGTTCTCTCCCTCCGACTCGGCTGTGGACATTGCCGAGCATGTGTACAACCACTGGCCCGAAGGTACGGTGGATCACTCACTTCCACGTGAACTTCTCTCTCTCTTGCCCTTTTTAACTCCCAGTGGAGCACAGGCCATCAACAACATTACTCCAGCGAAGCCTGTCCTGAGCATCCTTTTCTATCTGTTTCCATGATGTCCCCACTTTTTCAATTTCCGCTGATACCGCTCGCCTCCATGTCATCTTTGGTCTTCCCTTCTTACGCTTTCCTTGTGGGTTCCACGTTAAGGCCTGCCTGATGATGCTTGTCGGGGGTCTCCTCAGGGTGTGTCCAATCCATTTCCATTTCTTCACCTGAATATCTTCCTTTACTGGCCTTTGGCTTGTTCTCTCCCACAGTTGAGCATTCGTGACTCGATCGTACCACTCGATCCCCACTATCCTTCGTAGGCATCCATTTACGAAGCTCTGCAGTTTCCTTGCTGCTGATGCTGTGAGCCTCCATGTCTCTGAACCATACTCCACGTGAACTTAGATAATTAATAATGATAATGACAATGATAAATTATTTTTATTGATAATGATAATAATAATGATGATGATAAATTATTATTAACAATGATAATAATGATAAATTATTATAAATAATGATAGTAATAATAATAATAATGATGAATTATAAATTAATAATGATAGTAATAATAATAAAGATAAATTATTATTAATAATGATGTTGGTAATAATAATAAAGATAAATTATTATTAATAATGATGTTGGTAATAATAATAAAGATAAATTATTATTAATAATGATGTTGGTAATAATGATAATGGTAAATTATTATTAATAATGATGGTGGTAATAATGATAATGGTAAATTATTATTAATAATGATGACAATAATGAAAATGATAATAATAGTAATAATAATGAGGAATTTCTAAGAAAAATGTTGACCATGTCTGAGCCTGCTTTACCGTGTGAGCTAAGAAATTCACAGAGAGACTTATTTTTATCGGTTGAAAATGACAGTATTCAAATTTTCACAGATTGTGTAAATTTCTGTAATGTTTGTTTTGGCAAGGAATGGTATGTCTTCGTAGATGTTTTCATCAAATATTTTAGAATTATGACATTAGTTTTTTAAATTCTGTTTTATCTTCTACTTTCACAGACTGGGCTGAGGAACCTTTGCCGCCAACCAATATACTCAGACTTATCTACCAAGGCAGATTTTTGCATGGCAATGTTACCTTAACAGGTGAGTTTGTGTGCTTGGCTTCGGCTTTTTTTTTGTTTTAGTGGAGTAAGTTGTTTTTGTACAGTCGTGTCATAGAAGATGGGAACTGTTTATTGCCCACCCACATAAGGGTCCTTAATGTCTTGCTCTTACTGGTGAAAATTGAAGAAAAACTAGGTCGGTACCCCCCGGGGGCAGTGCCACTGACTGTAGTGTCTTTAGGCCATTCCCAAAGGGGGGACATTTCTCGTTCAAGCACAGTAGAATTGTAAATGGGCTGATTCATGTCACGCTCATAACAGTGCCTGATCTACAACAGGGAACTGCTGCTTTTGCTTTCCTATTCCTTACTATTGTCATTTTCCTCTATTTCTTTTGTATGTTTGTCACCCTCTTGTGACCTGCTATTTCTGGGGTGCCTTGATAGATGAAGCAGACTTTGTGCTGTTGAAGCTAGAGAGGTGAGCAGAGTAAGTCTGATTCCCTGTAAAGACTTCTCTGTTGACATCCACCCCCTGGCGCTCATATGACCTTATGCAGTTGCGAGCGCCGTAAAACCCTCTACTATAATAATAATAATAAAAACTAGGCAGGGTAACTTACTTGCAGCTTACTTGGAAAGCTTGAACAGATGAGTGAGGGGGGGGGGAGAGACCAGGGTTATATTTGTAGTGTTTTTTAGAGCTTCCGAGCAAAGCAACGAATGATGTACCCTGATCGCTGATGTCTGTCGCAGATCCGGGATTGGATGACGGCCAACTCACATGCACACACTAAAGATTGTTTTTCTTCAAGATGGATTGATTGTTATTGATTAGCTGTTGTTGTTATCCATCAAAGTACATGTACAGACATTCACCGACCCCCTGTCTTATGCCAGCGAGTTGCTTGTGAAGACTTTCTTTAGTCGATGTGACGTCTCATGAAATGTTTTCTCGAATGGTCAGAATGAAAACGGTAGATATTTTTGTCAGTCAAAAAAGATCATATTAGAGTGTGCACAGTTCGTGCTGTTTAAAGTGTATTCCAAGTTTTTTACTTTTGTTGTTTCGGTTTTTCTTGGAGTGCAGTACATAATTTATTGGTTTTTTTGCAATCTGATTGAGCTTAGCTAATGTTTTGTTCTGTTTGCTCCACTTTCAGCCCTGCAGCTGCCCACTGGAAAAACTACTGTGATGCATCTTGTGGCCAGAGAGAATCTGCCAGAGCCAAACAATCAAGGTCTGTTTAGATCACATGATCTACTTCCTCCCCCCCCCCAAAAAAAAATTATTATTTTTTAAAAATAAATGAATAAATAAATAAATGAAAAATAAAAAGATACATT